GGGGGGGTGGGGGGGTAGTATGAATATTAATGCGTAGTAGAACACTTGGAATTGTGCATGTTAACAATAAAGACATATCAAATACCATAGCTAGATGAATAATTGCTCCAAAGTACAACACAAATGTGCTCCATCCGCTTACTTTGGTGCTTTATTTAGAAAAGCGATCATCGCCGCAGTCAGGTCTTCCTGCGCCTTCGCAGCACGTTCTTGTTGCTTCAAAGCACGTTCTTGCGCTTGCAACACAAGTTCTTTCTGAACGAGCTCCCGCTCCCGGAGCTCGAATTCCTTTGCTCGAGCGGCTTCAAAGCTCAAACGGAGGAGCTTCTGCTCCTCAATTGCTGCCCTAATGAGGGCAGTATTAGGGTGCTGAGCCCTTTTTTTTGGAGGCGCCCTCGCTGGCACGGACACGCCGTTGCTGGCAGAGGTGCTTGCAGCGCAGCTGGTGCTCGCGGTGCTCGCCCTCCTTGAGCTTGCGGCCAAGCTTTCTCCTCTGTGCCCGCTCAAATCTGGAGCCTCGAAGCCGACTCCAGCGGCTCCGACATCATGTGAGTCGTCTCCCACGTCCATAGGTGGCTCCTCGAACATCTCGCCATCCTCTGCACCTCCATCCTGCAAGCCTGCAAGCAACTGAGAAAATTTCCATACAATCAGATATTCATATTAAACCACAATTCAGGTATTATAATCCATCTCACAACAACTTGGCAAACTTTGGAAGCTACACCCTCGTGATTCCACAAGTGCATCGGTGTGAGGCATGTTGCATCATTGAACAGATGTACCATCACTTTCGGACGCACGGGCATGAGGAATCTGCTGTCATCTTTGGCTTCTTCAACTCCTTCCTTAACTATATTCAATGAACTGACACCCATCCACCAACTGCTCGCTGAAGAACTACCTGGCCACCACCTTTGGTCAGAAGTCTACCAATTACACCACTGGTTTTGCCTATATTCTGTTTCACGATAACTTGGCAAACTGTGGAGGCTACGGCTCCTGCGACCCAAAAACAGCGTTGGAGCGAGGCATGTGACTCTATGTCACGGGAGCGTTTGTGTCACTGCTCCAAAATCAAGACCTCGAGGAACTGGCTGTCATCTGCTGATCAAAAGTCGTCTGCTGTGAAACCAACCAACTTCAGATGAACATTCACCGGCGCAACATTGCCATCCGCTAGAGTAGTGAGCTCTTTGGAAACAGTTTATGAGACAACCATACGTTCAATTTACTAGCGAATCTGTGGTGGGTGCTAATGCCACGGCACAGTGCGATGTTTGAGCGGAAGTGGTGGATTACACGGCTGCAATCGTTCACATATCATTCAAAAGCCATATTGTTCCTGGGAAAGGGTTGATCCGTATTAAGTATCATTGAAAAAAAAGTAACACGTCTTCATCTTCCGTGTCATGTAGTGTGGCGGACAGAAGGGTCTCACTGCAACACTACTAACAGTAAAAGAAGCCTAGAACAACTTTTTGTCACGGACAATGCTGTTGTTGTGGTGGTAACGAGGCTTAGCTCCGTGGCCTCGATTATGGAGTGTTGTCACGTGCCTTGCTCAGACACTCTTATTGGGTCGCGGAAGCTGCAGCCTCCACAGTTCGCCAAGTTATCGTGAAACGAAGCATAGAGCTGCTCTATACAGCAGCCTTAGCTCCCCAAAGTAACAACACGAGGACTAACTTACCCGACAAGTGAGAGACCTGCAGTCGCCTGCTCCACTTTCGGTATCGTCACCATTGCATTGCCGATGGCCCGTCTAGGAACCTCCAACGAGGGCACATAAAGGACAGTAGCCATTCTTCGGAAGCGCTAGTGTAGCCTTTGAGGTATTTCCTCTTCTATTTGATGAAGGACGAGTCCCAGTTCATGCAGAATCGCTGGATCTCTGACAGGTAGGTCGGAAGCAGACGACTTGTTTTTCGTACAAGAGCTTGCCGATCTGTTTGTAAACACGAGTTGGTGTATGTAGGAACCGTTGAATATCTAATAATACAGAAACCTTGTTATGAAAGATTGATATCACCAGCCGACCTGCACTACTGCAGGCGTTGCACGGTCCAGGCAGCTCTCTACGACCAGGCTGCTGTTGTTGAGCGGCAGCGACCCCATGAACCTGTGGATGGCGAAGTAGTAGGCCCAGGTCTGCTTCCCGGATCCCGTGGTGGTGCCTTCCCGTGCATGTTTCCTAAAAATTAAGGCAGCTGTAAGTGTCACATTCATGTAGTTCCGTAAATGTACATGCAACACTCACAACACCTAATAAGCAGAAATCGCTTTGCAAACCACCTTCAGATTGAAGATTGGCGCACACATGATGCTACCTGTTTTACGTGGCTTGCATGTGACGTCATGGCATTGTGCAGGTGGCCAGTTCTACTTATTATTGCTCAAAAAAACAACCTCAGTGGGGTGGAACATATGCTGCAGAAGGGACACATATACCAGCTGCCACAACAGCAAGTGGTATGATGTCAGTGATAACCATGTATATAGTGCCAGCACATAAAAATCAGCATGTTTTACTTTCTAATCGTATCGCAATGTCAGGTTAGACCTTCTGTGGCATTGCCTGTTATTGCTTACAACATACAAATACATATAAAATAGTTGAAGTCGAAGGGATTGATGGCTGTTTGAAGGAAACTCAAAAATCTGTTTCTGAATGTGTCGGACTAAGACTCTACAAAGGGGGTCAAGCATGCGCTTTAAGGGCATACGGATCCCACTGCTTCTGGGTGGAGTTTTGACGGCAACCTCTGGGCTGTGTGAAGCGCCTCAACGAGGAGGGGTAAAACCAAAACAAGCCACAACAAGAGTTGCCATCACTAAACCCGACTCTGAAAAATGCGGTACTCGGTGTCTTCACTGCTGTCGACGCTGAGAGCACTGCTGATATCTGTCGAGTCCGACTGTTGCGCCAATCAGACACCTTTGGGTCGCCGTGGGAAGGAATTTAATGTTTTTAATTTCCGACTGTTTACTCAAGTTTCTGCAGTGAATTTTTTTGTACCCTTGACGCACGTTCACCGCCACCTTTATGCAAAATTGTAGCTTGATACGTTTAGAAACCGATTTATGCCGTCCCTTCAAAAAGTCATCGATCCCTTTGACTCGCCCTGTAGATTTAAACGGATTTGGCTCCTAGGTGAGTTTAGCTCTTCAGTACCGATGTCTTATGTGGTTTGAGCCTCGGAGATCATGAAACATGGCAAGTCAGCTGTGAAGCTTTGAACATTGCTGCAGGCGAAGACGGCTACTCAAAACGCGTACGAGCTACGCAAAGGAGCGGTGGCCGAACACGGCACGCGAGACAAACACTGCAGGTAGGCGAGCCCTGTCTTTGCGCGCCGCGCAAATTGAACGGTCGTCCCTATCGGCACTGTTTGGCGTGTGTGTGTTCGTAGGATTAGCAGGTTACACCAAACATGTGAAGTTTTCCTTACCGATAAGTGCTGCACAGATTCTCGATCTTGTTGTGGACTTGGTCCCTCGTCGTTCGAAAGCCCAGGGCCCCCAACGCTTCCGCGATCTCGGCGTAAACGGCACCGTTCCTCTTGGCGCGACGGAGGTCCTCCAGCCGATCCTCCCAAAGCCGAATCAGCGCCCAGGTCGCGTCGACGCTCCAATGGACGCGCGGCGACCCCTTCCTACTCGTCGACGCTCCTCCGTCGTTCGACATATCGCACGACGCGAGAGATATAGAAATATATATACAAAACAAAGATTAAATATATACAGTACAGTTAGTAATACACTATTAAAGGATGATAAAATATAAAGTAGAGAAATAAAAGCTAGATAAATATGGTTGTAAGAAAAATCGAAAGGGGGAAAACCGAAGTGCCGAAGCGAACGATGCGAGCAGGCGAGCAGCGGGACGACTACGCCTACTAGATAGCTGGGGCCATGGGTACAAAAAACTATTAGTAGAGCGAGGTCTGTACAGATTATACGTCAAACACGCTCTTTTTTAATAATAAAATTACAAAAATATTTATTTTAGAAATCAGTACGATCTTTATTTTCAATCCGCGTCTCTAGTGTAGACCGCTGCTGACGAGAGTAGGCCTTTAGCAGCCGTAAAGGAGTTGTGGGAACTCAGGTTCCCGAAAAGGACCTTTACGCTAAATGTCATTTGAGTTGCCGTGTGGCACTGCCTAAATGACATTTACACTAAAGGTCCTTTGGCGTAAAGGTCCTTTTAGGTGCCCGTCTGGCAGGGGTATAAGTCTGACCACAGCCAACGCCTGATAGACCCAATCAAGCAGCTTCAAAAATGACTCGTCACATCGCTCGTTTTTTTTTTTTTTTTTTTGTATGGAAGCCATCACCGGCTAAACCAATCTCTCAAAAAAAAAAAAAAGACCCAAAAAAAGAACTCAGGATCACGGCTTTTTTATTACGTGTAATTGGTTCAGTCGGTAATAGCAGACGTATGCGTAGAGCCATTCGTCTGCTTCTTGCGCAGGAGTTGCGGTGACGTCAGAACGACGCCGAGCTCTGATTGGCTTTCATTGAAAGGATAGTGAGTCGGCCCCAATGCTAGGTGCCTTCAGGTATACCCACTATGTTTTTAGATCAGCCAATAAGAGCTCGGCGTTCTGGCATTATCGCCACCCCTGTGCAAGTAGCAGACGAACTTACGCTCCGCATGCAAAGACAACAAGCACCGCGATGATACCATCTTGGAGCTGAAACGAGGTATCAAGCGTATGCGGAGTGCAAATTAGTCCGTTTCTTTTACAGGAGTTTCAGGGACGTCAGAACGCCGAGCTCTGATTGGTTCTGATTGAATGACAGTGGGTAGACCTAAAGGCTGCTTGCTTTGAGGTCGACCCGGTATCCTTCAATCGGAGCCAATGAGAGCTCGGCGTTTTGACATCACCACAACCCCTGCAAAAGAAGCAGACGAATTTGCGCTCCGCACACCTCTTTGGTAGGAAAGGGGGGGGGGGGGTGTTGCTCCGTTTTTGAGACAATGCGATACTTACGATGCCGCTGCCAGCCGTCATGTAGGGTCCGATGACGAAGGCAAGCAGGTGGGTGGACATGGGTGGTGTCCTCTCGTAGTAGTCCGCCACGAAATCTTTTGACCTGCAGTTTTAGAGCGCTCGCGATTTGACCGCCAAGTTTTCATGCTAAGTTTCGCCATTCTTCGCATAAATACCAAGTGCGTCAACTGAGAGGCTCCCAACGGGTCATTGCGGCCTCGGCGAAGACGAGGCGGCTCAATGTATACACTGCGCGACGCTGTCATCGCAAACATCAGCGGTGCTTCCATTTTCATCTTATTTCTAAAGTTTTAGCCACGTGGCTCCTGCATGCCACAAGCACGTTCCACAGGAATGTTTGCTTTGTACATACGCATCCTTCGAACCTGTCTGCAGACAGTTTTTCTTATGACGCATGAGACGGCGCCGTCATACGAATGGAACAATTAGCGCAAAGGAAAACACGAAGATACGAAGAGAAAAGGCGCTACTATCAACTGATTGTTCAATGAAGGAAAAGAGAAAGGCAAGAAGGTGGGGAATGGTTTGATTCAAAAAAGAAAATAGTGATTTAGATTGAAAGATGCGTCGATCCACTAAATGACACTCCTACACAAAAAAGAAATTCAGAGAAAATAAAATAACTTAGAAACAAAAATGAGTAATAAAAAAAAAAACGGAAAATAAAAATATAAAAAATAGGAAAAGGGGCCGGGTTAAGAATAAAGATAAAGATACCGCATCCCTTTTTCTGATAGCTCTACAGATGGTGTGCTAATAAACGTGTCTTTTGATAAATTATGGTTTTTGCCTCATAAAACTCTCTGGCTTTTTTATATATAAAATTCTAGAGACAATTATTGATTTTTTTTTTGTAGAAAAAACTAGTTTTCTCTTGAGAAAAAATTTTTTTTTCTGGAGAAAATTAATTTTGCCGAGGATTCTTTGTGTGCGAGTGCGTCATTAAGTTCATCGATGCATTCTAAAATCAAACACTCCTTATTTTCTTTCTTGAATCAAATCATTCCTCACTTCCTTTTGGTCTTGGTTTTTTCATTTTGTCAAGGATCCTGTTCGTTTCAGAAGTAGGGCGTCAAGAGGTCAAACAATATTTCACTTACCGTGTAATTAGTTATTCTTGAACTGCCCTAACTTTTCTACTTCGTCCTCATCACTCGCTTAGTCTTTTTCCTTCTTGATTGTCTACATCCTCCCGAGACGGAGATACGCGACAAATCTTAAGAAGTTATAATCTATAACTGGTCTCCGAAAGACATTTCTTTGTCGGTCACTCAATCACTCGATCACTGTTTCCTTTGATGATGCCTATGCCTTTTACCAGTTTCAAAAAGACTACCTTGGACAGCAGTAAGATAAGCTGGCGAGCTAGTTGGTTGTCCATCGTGAATAAAATAGCGCAAACAACAAGGAAGGAAGTCTACCTCATCCTTCCTTCCTTGTTGTTTTGCGCTATTTTATTCATGATACCTTGGACAGCTCTTTTCTTTAAGAAGTACCACGTATATTTTTTGACAATGCTTAAACATTTAAAAAGCCATCAAACGACTTCAGGAACGTCCTCAAGAGCCTGAACCACCCTGACTTCACTTTCTAACCTGCTCAACACAAAATACGATGTAAATGTATTATTGAAAGCGCTCTTTGGTGGGACAGGTGGTGGGAACGCCTATTACTTTCAGTGAAGACAACTCTAAGTGTTGGGAAGATGCATCGTTAGATTTGAAAAGCTGTTACCTGTACTCTTCGAAGTAGAGACTATCATTAATTCCAGGCTTTTAACAAGCCCCTACAATTTGTTACTGCTAATAATACTGTGACGAAGTGAGCGGAAGTACTTCCGCTCGTTTCGTCGCCGGCAAGCATAAAACAAATCGTTCATGCGTTGGTTCTGCATCCCTTTCGTACAATACATCATTAAAAAGCACAAATTGTTGACTTGCTTTCTTCTGCCGTTTCTTTGTACCAGCCTTTTTCTGCAGTATTTTTATGATTTTTGTACAGAACGGGTACTCCTGCTCGGAGGTTAAGTCGGGCTCTGTGACCTCAAGCACATTACAGGTGCGGGTCCTCCCAGTCTCTCTCAAGCCGTGGGTACTCGAAGGTTCCCCTGAGCAGAAGTTGCTCGAAATACGGGACAGACAATCGGGCAGGCACGTAGCCAGGGGGGAGGCCCATGGGGCCCCCCCCCCCCCCCCCCCCCCCCCCGAAACAAATTCCTGGCTACGTGCCTGCAATCGGGGACAGTGTGACATGCGCCAGACTTGTACACAACTTCAGAGTCGAATTCTTGCAGCAGGAGAGACCACCTGAGCAAGCGTTGGTTTCCCTTGTTGTAAGGAAGAACCCAGCAGAGTGCATGGTGATCTGAAACAACATGAAACTTTCTGCCCATTAGGTAGGGGCGTAGCTATTCCAGGGACCACTTAACTGCAAGGGCCTCAAGTTCGTGTAGTTCTCTTCAGCTCCGTGAAGAGAACGGCTGAGGTATGCAACAGGCCTGTAATTTCCAGTTTCATCTTCCTGGAGGAGGATGGCGCCGAAGCTGGTTCTGAAAGCATCAGTGTGGACCTGGAGGCCGTATTTAGAGTCCTCGGAGAAGTGCTTCAAGACAAGAGGTCCACATAAAGCAGATTTCAGTTCATGGAAGGCGTGTTCTTGTGGAGCACCCCATGTGAAGGCTTTTTCTTTTTTCAGGAGCATTTTCAAGGGGGCCGCGATGGCACTATGGTTCCAAATGAACTTTCGGAGATAGGAGGTTAGTCCCAAGAACGATTGAACTTCAGCCGCAGTTCTAGGATCGGGGAATCGCGTTACGGCATCGAATTTCTCTGGATCAGGTGCAATACCTTTCTGGGATACAATATGTCCGAGGTAAGTCACTCTGGTGCAAAAAAAAAAAAATGGCACTTCTGCGGTTTTAATTTAAGATCTGCTGCCTCAAAACCCACGAAAATATTTCCCAGTTTTTGAAGGGGCTCTTGAAACGTTGTGCTGTAAACAATGCAGTCGTCCATGTAGACCAGTGAGTTGCGATACTTTAGATCACCGATAGTGGCATCTGCAGTTCACTGACACGTTGCCGGTGTTCCTTTTAACCCAAACGGCATTCTCAAAAATTCATACAGCCCCCACTGCGTAACGGAATCTGTCTTAGCAGTGTCGCCAGGTTCCACTTCTATTTAATAGAATCCTGAAAGGAGGTCCAACGTTGAGAAATACTTGGTCGCCCTCAATGCCGCTTCATCATGATCGATTCGTGGTAATGGGTAGACAATGTTTTCGGTTACAGCATTTAGCTTCCTGTAGTCCACACACATTCTTGTCGACTTGTAATTTTTTTTAACTGAATCCAGTAGTGATGCCCCGGAGCTTTTGGAGGGCTGGGTATTTTTTGCAACATAAGGTCTTCTATCATTGCCTTGACCAAATCTCTTTGAGCCGGTGAAATTCGCCTTGGGTATTGTGCAATTGGTTTTGCATCAGTAGTGGGAATGGAATGTTTCTCTATCCTACAAGATCCCAGGTGTGCAGTGTCGGTTGCAAAACTAGAACGATATTTCATCGACAGTTGTGTTACTGCCTTCAGCTCTTCGGAGTTCAGTGAAGCTCAACTCATCAATTATTATCTGCTGCGTTTCGTTGCGGACTATAGGCACATCTTCCCAGTTCTCAAGATCAGAAAAACTGGAACATTGCAGGGTTGATCCCCATCCGATGGAAGACGAGTCAACCGCTTCAACAGCTTCTAGTTTTTCTGCCGATCCTAACGATACCCTCGCAGCTATTTTGGATGGCCTCAAGGAAACGTTTGTAGCCAAAAGTTTGAAAGTCTTTGTTCCTGCGTCGATGGCTGTCAGTTGCAGTTCCACCAGGTACTGTTCAATAGCTGATTGAGAACTTGTTACATATAAGATATCGCGACTTGTCTCGCTGGCTGGAACTTCCAACATGACTTCGATGACCTTCCGGAAAAGAGGTGGTACTACTTGGGTGATCGTTGCACAAACCTCGAGTGTTTTTTCTGCTTGGATTGAAAACGTGTTTGTACCCCAGTCGACAAATGCTTTTGATGAGCGTAAAAAGTCATCTCCAAGCAAGACTAAGCCTTCCTTAAAATCTGGGACAACGACAAAAGTCTGTCGGAATGACCTTCCGTCCACTGTAATTTCGACCCTCACTTCTCTATTTTTTACAAGTGGCAGCCCATTTGCTCCCACAAGTTTCAGGGAAGATTTTGAAGGTGCCATTTGAAGTCTCTGGCAAACGGCTTCATTCATAAGGCTTCTGGTGGAACCAGAATCTAAGACCGCCCTGAGTTCAAAGGATCCCATAAAGACTGGGACCCGTTTGACACCCGCAGAAGATTCACAGCTAACGCGCTGCACTACTGGTGTGAGTGTCTCCCCGCAGGCCCCGAAGACACCAGGTCGGAGTTTTCTAGGTCAGTCGGAACGTTAGGCTCCACTTGAAATGCGCGCTGCCATTCAAGAAATTCTTGCGTGAGAAACTGGGGGCGCCATGTTACAAAATTACCTTCCTTTTTGCAATTTAGGCAAAGCTTGAGTACTTTCCGACGGGATCCTTGAGCCTTGGTCTGGGCTGCATTGTTCTGGCGACGGAATTCCCTTTGGTAGGTCATGCTTGGCCGTGGTTTGTCATTCGCACTGCTCGCTGCAGCGTATTCCTGACGTTTTTCCCCAGGCTGCTGTTGCCGATCAGTTTTGACGAAAGTGCACAGCCCATCGGCCCCTACTTTGTGGAAGTTCTAAACTGTTAATGACTTTTCTTCGGGCTTCTTGGATTTTCCGCTTGCCCGATCAAACTTTATAAAAGAGTTGAGCAAATCATTAAGCGCTGTGAAGCTTCTATCGAAATACACCCGCGTTGCCTTGTCGTCCAGGGGTTCAAGAAGCAATTCGCACTTCTCGGCTTCGCTTCCTGTGAAGACACACTCTTCTATCAGTTGCAGCTTCTGAATAGCGTACTCCATGCACGTTTTTGTGAAGGTCTGTCTCCGAGCGAACATTGCTTTTTTTATTTTCCACGGGGCTTTCTAGATTGTAGTGCCGCCAAAACGCGGAC